GCCCCATCTCTTTCTCAATCCCCCTTTTATGCGCCTCTCTCCTTCACCCTCATCACTTCTCCTTTCATCTCCATTTTCTTTTTTTTAATCCTTGAGCAATTGATTGCGCCATTAAATCCTCCGAGCCTCATCTACAACGTTATTGCATCCTCGTCCTACATCGGCGTTAGGTTGTCTCCTTTTAACTCGAGTTAGAGGATTTAAATGTCAATTTTGATCAAGAAAACTCTAGATCTAGAGTCTTATGGTCAAATTCGCCCAAAAAAATGCCACAATTTGCAAAGGTATGTTTCCATATTAGTTTTAATTTGAATATTTTGAAATGTTTTTGAGTTGGTGACAAGGTGTTTTAGTGGAGGTGGTTTTTGGTTAGATTGGGTACGTGGCCGGTTTTTTCGTGGGTTGATAGGTTTTACCTGGGTAGGGGTAGTTTTTGTTTTAATACAAGGGTTGTTGCGGGTTGGGGTTGTTAGGGTTTTACCTGGGTAAGGGTAGTTTATACGGGATCGAGATGGTTTTCATGGGGTGGGGGTGGTTTAGCACGGGGTTGGTGGTGGTTTCTACGAGGTTGGGATGGTATTGGGTTTTTGTACAGGGGTTAGGAGATTTTTACGGTGGTGTTAAGTGAGGTTTAGGCTTAATGTTGGTGTTGATGGGTCAATTGATTGCTTGAAAATTGTCTATAGATGCTTGAAAATTGATGATTTTTCTGGGTTATTTTGGATATTATGATTGATTTATGCCTAAGAGTTGATTTTTGTGAAGATATAATGTTGTTTAAAGTGATTTATCCCCTTGATTTGCTATTGATGATGAGACTTCCATAATGAAAAAATTTGATGTTGTTAGATTGTATGACAAAATTAATTAATCTAAATTCATTAAGCTATACAGGAAGAGGATAATTTGTTGCTAATACAGTTGTTAAAGTTGTGTTTATGTTGTTAAAATCTAGTTTTTAATTTGAATTATAAGCTTTGGTGCATTTTTTTTAATTGATTCCCTTAGTGGTTTACAGGAGGATGAGCAATTCGAGAAACTCGCTAATCTGATAATGGAGGGCTAAAGAAATTACCAAGGATGGGAATGTTGTTAGTTTTGGTAACTTAGAAGTATTTCCATAAGTTCTTATATACTTGTAAATTATTCATAATGTCTTATATACTTGTAAAGTATTGTTCTTATATACCTGTAGATCTTACTCATTGTAATTAAGTTACTATATATTAGTACATTCAATAATAATATTAGTTTATGTAAATTTATCAAATTAATTATTTCTTTTTGTAATTTACAATTTCTTTCTAATTTTAGAAGAGTAATTACAAAATAATAAATATATATCAGCGATTTTTTTTAAAAAAAATAAATATATTTAAGTGACCTGTTATCTTAGATAACAGGTCTCTTTATTGATATCAAAGAGACCTGATGTCTTAAATAACAGGTCTCTTCCCCTTCTTAAATATATGGTGTAATTACATGCAAAGAGACCTGTTACCTTAGTTAACAGGTCTCTTATTTATTTCAAAGAGACCTGTTCAATAGAACAAGTCTCTTTATCAAAGAGACCTGTGAGCTAGAGACCTCCTCTAAAGAGGTCTCTTATGCCATTTACAACGGGTCTCTTTTGCCTTTTTTGTAGTAGTGATCCATCACATATTCACATACCACCATGGCACCGTGCGGCATTAAGAACCGTCCTTTTAGTAATATTTCCACTGTACGTCTGTACGGTTCAATTTCTTATATTACTCCGTACTTCCGTCGTAGGCTATATGCATGGCACACATTATGGATATTGTACTTTAATTTGAGAGTATACTGATTCATCTAAACATAGGATAAATAGAGTATAATATTAATTTAATTGTAAAATAATCCCATCAAACCTAACTAAATAACTTACTAACATTTAGGAATCCACAGTTCATATGCATGCATAATATGATAATTATAGTATACTAATAGCTACTTGCGTTCGTTTCTTTAGTTATGTACAAAGATTAAGCAGGGCATGCAGGAGAAATTCAAGTGTGCTAGCGCGTAATGAAAAAGAAAAAGAAATATCAATATTATAAGTTTGAGTGAAATTTATGTTAAAAATAATTTACTCGTAGAAACTAGATAAATGACAAGATTTGTATCTCATAATTTTTTCTTAATGGTAGCATAGATAAGGTTTGTGTCGATTCAACCCCACTTGAATTCCCAGTAGTGTAATGATTGACATAAAAAGTATTATCAATAATATACATTATTATGCAATTCCTTTTAATATTTAAATATTAGGAGGAAGGAAACAATTTAAGATAAAATAATTAACACATGCTAAAAAAAAAGAAAAAGAAAAAAAAAGGACAAGAAAAATATTGATTGAGGAGAAGACAAAAGAAAGAGTTGTATTAGTAGAGGCAAGTAACATGATGAGTAGATTGAAAAAAAAAAAAACAAAATAGTAAAGCAAATTAAAGTGTAATTAATTATAAAAGGTGGGGCAAATAAGGTCCCTTGTTTGAAGGCAAAGAACATATCCTTCATCCTTGACATCGACAATGTTAGACCCAACTAGGTTGGATGATCTGTACTACTTTCTAATCTTAGATAATAAGAGAATATTTTTCTATTTTTTTCAGGACACCCATTCTTCTCATTCGGAAAATTACTTGACGCCACAAAAAATCAAAAAAGTGTTATCGAGTACTATACAACAATTCTTAGGATATGTAAACTTTCTTGAAAGATTCAATTTTGATGTAGTACGGAAAACCACGGTAAATTTTCAATATTAGGGTTGCAAAACACAAATAAGAATTTTGATATGAAAAGGAGAATTAAGAAACTTTAGTTATTTCTCACAGGATTCAATTAAATAAATCAAAATAATATTGTATTTTAATATGTACATGATATACCATACATGAGATGTGATGGATTATATATTTATACAGAGTAACATTTACACCAAGTTAATAATACAAAATAATAATATAGACTAATGACATGAATAATAAGACGTACTATAAAAATAATTATTAATTCCGGATAGAAAAATTGTACGAGTATACATGATACGAAGTATTACACTCTCGTAGATGGAGTTGAATGAGAGCTGACAAAGCTCATGGATAAGCACGCACTCTCTAAGTATTAGATTGGGTCAGGGGCAGGTGGTTCTTTGGTGCTATGAGAGGATCAAAAGATGAAGACATGAAGTTATGTATTCTGTCTCCTCTTTAGGGGTCAAATAGATATTAAAATAAATTCTCGAATAGCAACAATCTGGTGCATGATTTGCATCAATAATTAAATAATTAGATTTTGATGTAATACTTTTTGTGGAGATAGTTTGAATTGCATTTATTTTCTCTATTTTTTAATAATTACGTTACTTTTTTTTCACGGCCTCTTAGACAATTTTTGAAGTAAAGAGAGATAGAGAGAAAAAAATAAATGGACTCATATGATAAAAGAGACTGAGAGAGGTAGAGAGAATTTATTATGAGTAGTTAAAAAGGAAAGTGATGCAAGTCGCAACTAATTTAAAGCTTCCCTTTTTTAAAAGTGATGCAATTAAAAAAACGGAGAAAATATTTTATTTTTATTTTTTTAAAAAAAGAGGGGATGTTTAGAAAGTTTGAGCGGCTTAAATTCGAGACTTTGGGTATGTTTTAATTTCCTTAGAAAATGTAGTTCTGATGTAAAAGTTGAGGAAAAATAATACATTGAGATAAATATAGAAACATCTTATGAACGAAGTACTTATAATTGTGTATCTATACTCCGTATGTTAGTAAATATTTACAATTAATAGAAGATGAATGAATAGCGAATAATCAATTTTTACATTCAACCTAAAACATAGAGAGTTATAGATATAGAAAACTGATCCATACATACCCAATATACAATCAAAATCCTATCGCAAATCACATGATTCAGATTGACCTAAATGTCTAATAATGACTATTATACTATGATTAGAATATTAGCAATAAAATAGAATATGACTCAACCTAACCCAATCCAACCCAAAATGACTTAAATCCAAAACCAACTCGAACCATGCTTCACATATTGACATACACATTTCCCGACCCAAAATAACTCAACCTATCTGAAGAACAAATAATTCACCTCTAAAATCTCCAAAGCTCGTGGCAAAAGGTACAGAGTAATGCACAAGTTTTTTTTTTAAAAAAAAATTAAGTAACACATAATTCATACAAAAATTATACTAGATGAGTCACAAAACTTCACAATTTCCCGTAATAGAAAATTGTGTTGGAAAACTATTACTTCCGCTACTGAGTTTGAAAGTTTTATACAGAGAACCATAAAACTTATACAGTATTCAAATACTGTAAACCCGAAGTTGATGGGAGATTATGGGAAGAAGATTACTTGAAAAAGAGTTCATTGATCAATGAAAATCGGCAAAATAATGTACATATTACATTCACTACCTCTAAAAATAACTTGATTATTGTGAAATTACGTGGCTAATATATATTTATGGGTGATCTGTGATTTATTTGGGGGTGTCGCAAATGAGCTTTCACGAGTCTGCCTCACCTAAAACTAAGCGATGCAAGTACTACGTATATATAAGAGTTGTAGCAAATTTACGAGTTTTCTGTTGAACAAATCCTAGGATCAGTACTTGTAGATTCAATGTTGTTTGTGTGTTTGGATCAAGTTCCTCTCCAAAGAGACTTCCAGCGACGTACATCTTCAAGCACGAACGTGTCAAGTGACTCAAGTGAACGAAACAGCAGCAACGTAATGAAGCAAGGTAGCAGCTCCAATTCGCCGCCGTGTGAAGTAGTGAGCAAGACACGTGATGTATATAACCCCAGAACACTAGTCACATTGCATGGCAACTCTTGCACCAACTGTTAACATTTTCGTACGATCACACTGTATAAAATTCATCTTTTACTAACACATCAAATAATCTACCTCATCATTCGCACTAGTTTAGCAACTAAAAAGAGATCATGAATTTGAAATTCAAGCTACCTTTGTTATTGCTGTTCCTTTCAGTTTTTCTAGCCTCCAGTTTGGCAGTCCGCTTTCCTAACCAGTATGAAGCATCGAGTGAGCATAGGGAATGCCTGCAGCGTTGCAGAAGTCAGCGCGACAACCTGTTAGAGTGTATCGATGAGTGTGAAGGTAAGGGAGGGAGTGGGGAATGGGTCTCTGAAGGCGATGATGAGTTGATCGACATAATGATCAACCCACACCATGACCGTGAGCACCAGTTTGAGCAGTGTCGTCGTAAATGCCAAAGGCAAGGCCAGCGTGGCCAAAGCCAACAATGGCAGTGCCAAAGGAGGTGTCAGGAGAAGTATCAGGAAAGGGAGAGTGGTAGAGGTGGTCGTTATGGAGATAGGGATGATGAAGTAGAGGAGATCAGCCAGGGTCGTGACCCATCCAGTCAACGTGACCCACAACACTTCGAGCAGTGCCAACAGAGATGCAGGAGGCATGGACAAATAATGGAATGCCAAAGGATGTGCCAGGAAGAGCTGCGAAGGCAAAAAGAGGAACAACAAAGCCGGCGCTTTGAGGAGGATGGCTTAGAGGTATCCGAGAATCCACAGCGTGACCCACAACAATGCTTCCAGCAGTGCCAACGGAGATGCCAGAGGCAAGAACAAAGAATAGAGTGCCAAAGGAGATGCCAGGAAGAGCTGCGAAGGCAGAAAGAGGAACACCAAAGCAGGCGCTATGAGGAGGATGACTTAGAGATATCCGAGAATCCCCACCGTGACCCACTACAACGCTTCAAGCAGTGCCAGCAGAGATGCCAGAGGCAAGGGCAAAGAATAGAGTGCCAGAAGAGGTGCCAAGAAGAGCTACGAAGGCAAATAGAGGAACGCCAAGGTGGGAGCTACGAGGAGGATGACTTAGAGGAATCTGAGAACCCCCACCGTGACCCACAACAACGCTTCAAGCAATGCCAGCAGAGATGCCAGAGGCAAGGGCAGAGAATTGAGTGCCAGAAGAGGTGCCAGGAAGAGCTACAAAGGCAAAGAGAGGAACGTCAAGGTGGGCGCTACGAGGAAGGTGACTTAGAGGTATCCGAAAACCCCCACCGTGACCCACAACAAAGTTTCAAGCAGTGCCAGCAGAGATGCCAAGGGCAAGGGCAAGGGCAAAGTCAAAGAATCGAATGCCAGAGGAGGTGCCAGAAAGAGTACCAAAGGCAGGAAGGAAGAGGCAGGAGCTACACAGAGACGTCTGGCCGCCCCACTGTACTAGCGTTCTTCTTGAAGCTCACTGGATTGTTTTAAGTGATGACTGGTGAGTGATATGGTAGCTTGACGGCTTTATGAATAAAGTGTACGATGTAGGATGAACGATGTTGTATTTCACTTCTCTCTTTCAATTAGATGCAAGAACCAGAGAGGCAGGGTGTGTGTTTTACCACTCTACATCTTTCTGTTTTAAAATAAATATATCAAAGTAATACCGCTAATAATGTCAAAATTGCATTGCTGTCAAAAAAAGATAAAGAAAAATTACCATAATAATTCATCCAAGTTCACCTAGAACCATGTGAACACATGGTGATCATGGTTTGTTACATAAATGGAAAGGTGTAAGTGAACAAATTAAGAAATACAAAATGCACATCCACCAGGCATGTATATACCTCAGCAGCTCAGCTTGCGAAACTATTGAAGATTAATTCATTGATTTTTCAATTGTGAATATTATACAAAAACAGCCTACATAATTATACATGGAATAGCTTATTCTTGATATTATCTGAACACATTCAGTTATGTTTTATTCCAATTCAAATAATATTATACTTCACACTATATTTTAAACAAACTTTTTTTTTGAGTGGAAAGCCCAACTTAGCTAGGATACCTGTATGATGGGGAATCAGGAATGAATCTAAACTTGCCTATACTTTTTGGATTATGTGATGACAGTAGGCTTCTCCCTTCCAGTGAAGTCCTTCAGCTTCGATATAGATAATGCAAGATCTGGACATTGTAGGTAGCAAATAAGATTTCCAAACACAAATCAGGTCATGTTATGTACAGCATAGAAGGGGAAATAACAAACCTATCAACGGTTTTAATGCTATTTGGGCATCCAAATCGTGTTTAGAGGCATCAGGCTCAAATTGCTCAATGTATACTCTAATTGTTGCACCTGCAGAACCAGTACCCTGCAAAACAAAGAGAGTATTCATTCCAGGTCCCAATCATGATTCAAAACTTATACAATGTGAATTCTCACACACTATTATTCAATCGAATTTTTATTATTTCTATTTCCCTCCATCTACCAAAAAAATCTACCACAGCCAAAAATACCATAAATAAAAAATATTTGCACATTTAAGATATCTAGTTTAACTGGCAAAAGCGGTGTGGCACACTTATAAATGACATGGGCTGAGACATAGATAGAAAAGAGGATTTCTAATGATTTTTCCACTCTGCAAAATGTTTAAAAGAATAATGAAAAGTTTGAGTTTGCACATACCGATAAACGAAATATTATTCGTGACCCATCAGAAAACACAAAGCGAACACCTTGCTTTGATGCCACACTTCCATCAACCTAAGACCAATACCCAAAATAAGGCTACTAAACATATTTGTAGAAACATCTGTATTCCGTATCTTTTTGAAAAAACACCACCGATAAAAGCATTACAACAAGAACTTACAGGATCTGTGTAGCTGAAGTCATCTGCAAATCGAAGGACATATTCCCCTGTTTTAAGTCACGTTAGTACCTGCACTTTGACAGAAGCCTCTGATCTAAATTTCTAACAGCAAAGCAGAACTTACCATATCTATCTCCTTCCCTGCTTCTTGATATCAAGTCTCTGAGATGGTCAACCATCTTATTAGCACCTTCAGATTCACACTCCTGTTAAGATGAGCATTCAATGTCAAAGTTCTACACCACCACTACCAGTATGTATCTCACCACAGAAGAGGTAATGAGGTCAAGTTGCCAAGACATGCAGCCTTGCATCTACTTGATACTAGTCACTAGCACTACAAAGGTTGGTTTAAATAGACCGTAAATCCCACAAGGAAAAAAATAAATACTTCCTCCATCCTCAAATAATCTTCATGTATTCCATTTTAGGATGTCCACAAAAAATCGTCTTGTTACATAGAATAGAAATAATTAAATAAATAATTTCACCGAAACCATGTGATGTGGATCCGTCCACTAACTTTCTTTCTCTCACATTCTCACCTCAACCTACTAAATTCCTTAATATGTGTGTCAAACCTCATAGGAAGATTATTTGGAGACAGAGGGAGTGATTTGGTTAGTGATACAAAATCAATTTTTCTATCTTAAACATGACGAGCTAATCAATTCAGAGTATCAGACAACAGCAGATCTGATGCTCACTTCATAATCATATCTGGAGAAAAAATTCCTCCCATAAGTTGCCCAATATTCTTTGACTACATCTGAGACGGAAACAAGTCTTTCCCCAGGTTTTGTCTCCTTGTTTCTGTAAGCGATGATTGACATCCAGGCTAAAACAGCCCTGCAATAATGAATCTCTTAAGTCATTCCACATTAAAGACATTATTTGAATTACACAAATATCAGAAGCTCATTACCTCTGGCATTGGCTAAAACACAAAAACATGGATAATCAACCACACACTTTCACACATATCAACATCTTAAATCTTGGTCTATGCCCTAGTCCACTACAGAAATATTGGTCAGAAAAGCAGAGAGAGATTTTCCGTAAAAGATTCCTATATACTACGTACTTCACATAATACAGTAACTGCACAGCTTTAACTGTACATTTTTCCTAAGTAACCTGGAAAAAGTAGAGAATGGGCACTATTCGCTTCCCCCCCCCCCCCCCCTCTCTCTTTCTCATTACCAACTACATTCTCAAATGTGTGAAGTGAATTTCAATAATCTGGTGCTCTGTGCACAAAATAAACACCACCAAACAGAAATCTATGCTGCCGTACCCAAACCAGTTAGTGGAACATAACGTGTTCTAGGTGAGATGGAGAAGTGGATACAGCCCCTTAATAAAACTAGGCATCGGCAACTAAGCTGCAAGACCTGTCCTATCGGCAAAGTCATCCATTTTTGGGATCAATCAACAAATCGAGAAAGAATAATTCACATATTTATTCGTAGGATCAACACAATAGTCAGCTGCAGCATGTTCTTGAAATGGATTCTGCAGCCTTCAGTTGAAAGGCTAAAGGTAACAAGAACAAGGAGAGACAAATCAAAACGAGCTCATTCAATAAAAAAGATTGATGGCTTTAGTTTCATATCAGAACAAGGTGAGGCAAACCAAACCAAGCTCATAACCTTAGAGGAACTGATGGCTATTAAATGCAAACCAGACAATCATTGCACTGAGATAGAAGGCACTGCCTTGGCCACACAACCACACACAACAAGTTCATAATTACTAGTCATAAGGCTTACCATATGCCATCCTTTTCACGAATGTGATCAGAACCAGTACCAAAACTCTCTTCACCACAGATTGACAATTTCCCAGAATCCATGAGATTACCAAAGAACTTCCAGCCAGTGGGAACCTGAAACAAGAGAACCATGCATTGTCAGCCAATTTTGGATGATATCAAATTTCAACTAATTACAAGAGATTTTATAAAAATAAGCTGATCTAAATCAGTTTTTAAGCTTCATATCCCAACAAGTGAGTTGTAAAGGGCCATTATGTATTGGCCTCTATTGAGCATGAACAACTAATGCAAGTCTGATTCAGGCCAATAAAGGGTTTTATTGCTGACACAAAGATCATGCAACACGATTATGACACCAATACAATCCCTCAATCAACATCACAATGTGTGATCAATGTTGCGATCAAAACTGACATTAAAATATGAAACCCTGAATATCTTATTACAAGTGAAGAATAGAAACCTCAAAAAAGGGAAGTTTCAATTTTTCAGCAACACGATCAAGTGCACCACTTGTAGGCATGGATCGAGCCAAACCCTGCAGAGCACATACAGCAAGTACTAGATGAGCTACCAGAAACAAGTATAAAAAGATAGTTGATATGCAGACAAAAAGGTGCACAAGTTTTACCTTAATTCCATCACGGAAGTATGGAATTGCTTCTAGAGCATTTGCTGCAATTATAGCAACTGAATCTGAAGGTGTAACAAAGAAACTTCTACCCAGAATCATATTTCTATCCCCATCACCTGGGCCATTAAAAAAATACCCCTCGTGAACATTTATGCAAAGAGATTGCTAAACTTTCACACTGATAATGAAAATTACTTTACTGCTAGAATCTTCATAACAGTTTGATAAACATGCAAACGGGGTAAATGAACACTCGCGAGAAACTAAAAATATGGTAAGTAAAAAAAAAAAAATTTCCTTCTTTTTTTCCTTGGTGGAGTGTTATATTTATGGCTTCAATGAGTTCAATATCATTCTTTTGAAACAAATCCAGGCAGAACGACACAATGTAAACTTGTAAAGATTTTTAAAACCTGATTCTTGTATACCTTGCTTGTTTTTTTTTCACAACTAAAGATCAGGAAAGGATATCCCAAGGCTTCACTTCCATAGTCCATAATAGTCTGGGGGTGAAATAACAGCCAACTACAATTTACCCTATCAAAAGGTTCTAGAAAACCTTTTAAGAAGTCGTCTTCGTTTTTATAATCTCAGAACGCATTTTGCAAAATATTGAGAATGTGAAACGGATCTATAAAAAAAATTCCCAGCAATTTCCGGCCCATCAAATAGGCAATAAAATATGGTGGCAATAAATTACTAATAAAAAAGAGATTGTGTATTTCATATCAATGTCTAAGACTCTAAGGTAATGCAAGTAGGCAACTCTACTTCCAAGTACATACTTCTCCCATAAATTTCCAATACCATTGTCAGAGTGATAACAATAAAATTTTGAATAAAAACAAACATTAAGAGATAGAGTTGGGTTACCATGGACATGCCATGGATCTTTCATCACAAATTACACAGAAACTTCATAATTATTACTTCCAAATAATACTCCCCACCAAAAGGGCCATTTGGAACTGAGATTGAGCTAAAACAATTGCTGGAAGGGCAAGGGTGGGGAAAGAAGTCATACCATCACTAGCAGCCCCAAAGTCAGGTCCATTCTCACCGTACATTATGTCAACCAAATCCTTAGCATAACTGTTCCAATCACCAGTCAGAACATATCATGCATAAAAAGTTTCCACCGTAAGATGTGAATGAAATCTTACGTGAGGTTAGGGTCTGGATGGCCATGGCCAAAGTCTTCCAGAGGAACCCCATTTGTTATTGATTCCTAATGAAGGCCTCAACAAATGTAATCAACATAGCAAAAGAGTTATAATATATACTTAATTCTGATAACTCAGATAAAAAGTATACCGGACTGGCACCCAGCTTTTCTACGAAGATTGGTTTTGCATAGGCTCCGGTAACTGCATGCATGGCATCAAATGTGAACCTGAGAAATTATACACAGAATTTACAATGACAAACTTAGTAGAAGGTAAATTAATAAAATAAAAAAGCTGATACATAAATGAGATCATCACTGGGATAGATCATGCATAACCACAGAAAACCAATGAGCAAGACCCAAATTCATAGAAAGTGAAAAAAAGATGTAATGAAACAGTTAAAATCCCATACTCCGACAAACTAATACGCGGTTAATTATCCTCTATCCATACAAAAATTTACAATAATGTCTATGCATCATATATTAAGGATCAGACCCAAGTATACTAATCAGTTTGGGTCAGATGAGTGTCAGACATGGGTACAATAAAATAATTGAGAGTTGAATGAATTAAGGTACACGTGCCAAAGTTGGATACAAAGAATTGAAGCAAATGAAGCATGCGGTAAAAAGAATACAGGAAAAGTTAATCAAAAGACAAAGAATTTGTCACAGAATTTGAGTTCACACCTGAACTCTGACCGTGATAGAAGACTTCCAATAAGCTGAAAATCAAAAACACTCTGCACATAGCAGACAAATTTTAAGAAAAAAATAATTATAACTAGTCAGTAGAGTATTTGGGTTATCTTGTCCAGAACAAGAAGTAATAAGATGACCAAGTAATTAGATCTTCAAATAGTGCTTCTACCTCCATCAGCTCCATATAGTCCGCAACTGGGTCAACTACTTCAACAACGAAGTTGCCAAATTTCGTAACTCCAACACAAGAAAGATCTACATCAGGAACGGTTGCCATCTTAATTTCAGAGATCTGCAAAGGACTCCTAATAAATTATATGGAAGCTAAAACAATCCCGTGTAGGTATCACAAAGAAAATATTTCCAAAAAAAACCCTGCATTTGTGAAGAAAGATTTGGCCTAAGAAGCTTCTATGATTTTACCACCTCGTCTTACACCCAAAAAACAAAGGTATTCACTCAGGAAAATCCTGCAGATGCCATGCCTTAGTGACTTTGTGGCGGAAGCCCAATGATGTTCTGAATCAGATAGCTTATAATACAGGGATACTGGACACAAAGCACTAGAAAACAGAATCAACAGACATTTGAAACATAGGAAAACGGTGGCAGAAATGCACATAGGTGATGGAAGACAAGCATTTACAGAAGATCAGGCACATACAGAAAGTGTGTTGCCGTATATCTTGTCAGTGATGGATTCAGGTGCAGGTTGCCCACTGCTGTAGTTGAACTGAAACATTAATACAAAATTGTTACCCTTAATTAAGAATATTAAAGAACATAACAAGACAAAAGTAGACTGCCATGTCGCATGTTAAGCACATAACATTCTAGGCCCCTTGGGAGTGTCTATTTTGATAGCACCCACTTTACATAAGATGGCAAGCTTGCCAGGACTTAAACAGTAAGAAAAACTAGAAGGGTTGGAAAAATTAAAGTACTTTCTAAGGTCCATTAGAACTTTTACACAAATCTTCACCAAAATAAAAGACAAGACATATAGCAACTCCACAGCTGCGATAACTACAAGAAGGGTTTAACAACTACGATTTATACATCCATTTTTGTATGAAAAAGCATGCATAACAGTAGACATTTGGAGTTGGAAAGCATCAAAAAGTAGAAATATTACATGCAAATGCTTAACTTTGATGCCAACAACATCTAATATTAGAACATCCGTGTGATGTACAGTAGCAATTGCAATCCAGAATGTCTTCTGGTGGTGCTAGCGGTCATTATTCATGATAATGTTTTCCTTTCCCAAGACATCAATAGCATCAATAAGGCTTGACCAGTGTGGATAGCACAAGCAATTCTTATTCAGGGGAAAATGATTTAACCGTTATTGATAAAGTGTATAAGTAAAACTAAAATAGGCCTCAACATATATGTAGTAATAACGCAGAGGCAAACAGAACCTCTATCAGCACTATCCATTAGGCTAATTTTGCTCAACATGCACCCAAACGGAGCCAAGAATAAGGAATAAGGTCAAGAACATACATTGTTTACCAAGTACATGAATGTACATATCATTACCTTGATTCCCCAATCATAATCGGGTCCACCAGGATTATGACTTGCACTCATTATAAAACCACCATTGGCCTGCAGAAGTGTGATATCAGCTTTCAAACTAATTAGCATTTCTGTTGTATAAATACATAAGCAAAACAGGGAAAGATACAGAAGCTTGCCTTCCTCTTTCTAATCACAGCAGAAACTGCTGGTGTTGACAAAATACCATCCCTACAATCATAAAACTTTGTCAAACTCACATTATATAGACGGTGCCTAGTTAGTTTAAACAATTTTGGTTCTTTACACTCATTGCTAACCAGTCTCAACTTTTATCATGATGTTGTCGGTGATATGAGTTACACGAACAGATTGAATAACGAGAAAGTGGATGCAGACATAGACATGTAGTAATGGATACCAAAAAAAAGTACATAGTTTTAGCACTGAAGGAAGGTTACAGAGAGATACAAATTAGCTTAGTCTGAAGACAAGCAGTTACGATGTTGATGAAAGTTGTTGTAGTGTACATCAGAATCTAACAGTAATGAAGTGATAAAGGACCTCCCACCCATGACCATGAAATTGCAAAATTCAAAGTCAAACACAGGGTACTAGAGCAACTCCAATGACGTTGACAATTGTATGGATGCTAGAAAGAAAGTGTTTGAGCTAAAACTTTATGCAACATGGTCCAGAGTGTTCTCTAATAATTATTTTCAAAGAGAAACTTTATGATAGTGTCTTAAACAAAAGCAACAGGCAGCAGCTGTAGCTCAACATTCCTCTACAAACCAGCTAATTCTAGGGATATCTAAGGGATTCTCTTAAAATCAATATGCACTGTCATAGGGATATCAATGAGCCAAAACATATGTGAACTACTCGCGGGCAAAGATCGTTCTCATTTGGTAAATAAATGAGCTTGAACATATTTTAAGGGCATGTATAATAAACAAGCCTAGCTCAAACAAAAGTGTTCATCTCATTTAAGCTCACAAACAACTTGTTAGCAAATGATTACGAGCTAATTCAAGTTCACTCAAATACCCGTTCAAGCTTGAATTTGGCCAAGGCCCGATATAGGGAAAAAACAATCAGTGAATAATATCCCAACAATAGAACCTAGTATATATTAAAATAAGGCTAGAAAAAACAACAAAACAGAAATTGAAATTATTGACGTTATTAGTTAATTCAACAAATTTAAATTACACACTCATGTCTTGATTCAATAGTATACAAGTATATTTTAGTGAAAAAAAAAAAAAAATCTAAATATTTGCATGTATGAAGCTTATTTAGAAGCATCCCCCTTCAAACTTGATTTTGTTCAGCTCAAGCGTTATACGGTTAAAAAAAATAGAAACAAGCCAATCTTGAACTGTTGAACGTGTGATTTAACAGTTCGGTTGAGCTCAGATAGAGTTTGAGGTTTTGGGATTGAGCTTGAGTAGCTCACACAGTTTAATGCTTGGCTTGGCTTGCGGAAATACCAATGCATTGATGCGTAAAAACACCTCATTATCCCAAAAATTGAATGTGATTATGTTCCTGAAACCTAAAGGATATGTGCATTTCTAGAATCTAGAACTTATCATTAGGCAAAGAAAATAACCAATGCAAGCGCATTATACAACAACCAGGTCTTAATTGGTGATAGTCTAACCTCTAGTTCTTAAGGTGGTATATGGAGTTTGAATGGCTCAATTAGGAGAGTGAAATTTCAATGAGGAAGATTTTAATTGTCTTCAGCTAAGTTCTTGACAGACCTAACACAGGCTTAGAAAGAGGATGACCTTACAAAATGCAGTAATGCACGTATGTAATTGGTGTTAAATGTTCAAAATCCTTTCACAAATAACATACTCATTCATGATATCAAATTAAATAACAACATAACACATAAGGAAAAAATATTTATAAACAGGATACTCACTGCCCAACTAGTATTTTTGCAACCCCATTGGCTGCCGCGATTTTGATAATTGTCTGAATAGCAAACCAAGATGCACAAATTAATGTCCATGCATAGATTATGCAGATTTCATAACTGAAGATGAGTATACCTGTGCAGCCTCTTTGTTGAAGTACCGACCATCGCCACCAAGAACTAACACCCCATTCACATAGTCCACTGATGGCAGTGAATTAAACAATGCCTGCTCATTCATAAAACCACACTCTAATCAATGCCGTAATCACAATGCCACCAACATCTAAAGTAAACAAACTATGCTTTTTGAGCAATGTGTTTCGAACCTGTATCCAATTGGCAAGGTAATTCTCTTGCATAAACACTTTAACCTAAGAGCAAACAAATTATTTAAGAAAACAGTTAGTTTCCACATCAAATTAACAAAAAGTACTAATCCATATTACTTACAAACACGAAAAACGAATTAAACCTTCTTCCGGAGACCGCTGGTGCCGGTTTTCTGGCCATCATAAGGTTTCGTCGGCACCATTTTTATCTGTGGAACTCAATTAACATAATAAGACGACAATAACACAAAATGCCACTCTAATTACACATTTTCTACCAAATCAAAAAAGAAATTTGTAACTTTCAAGACAATGAGACATTTAAACAGCGATCAAAGAAATAATGTATTACTCCGTCAATAAACGCAATAATTTATTGCCAAAAAATACAATAATTAGCATTAAACAAAGATACAATTCACACCAAATCATAAGTATACATGAAAATAAACAGCAATTAAAATATATATTGAATCAATAATTCAAAACAAGAATATGCTGATACAATTACTCATGATTATTTAGATATCATTCAAATAAAATGAAATCACAAATTGTAAACACTGAAAAATTGAAAATTAATAAAATTGAAATAAAATGAATACCGAGAAATTTTGAGATTCAAGTATAGTGGAGGTGGAAGGAGATGATGAAGAAGCTTTAATGGCGGAATGAGAATGCGACAACATTTTAGTGAGAGAGATGAAATTGTGAGAAGGTTGAAGAGGGAGAGAGAAAGAGAAAGAGCGAAGAGGATGAGAGGGAAATCTGGAAGTGGTTTTTCGAGAATATAGAGAGAGTGAAGGTTCAATTTTTACAGAAAACGCCATTGTTACAGAGCTTATACTCTAGAGAATGAGAGGGTGACAGGAAGTGTGGGAAATAATTTTGCAGATTTTTTATTATATATTTTTTTATCCAACCGAAAATACAATTGGGCTGGGCTGGTCTGGGCTTGGATGGGCTATACTGGGTTGGGCTGGTTTGGGTTGGGCTGGGAAGATCCAAGGACAAATTGAATGACGGTATTTTGACGGAATGTAATAACACCACGTGTCCTAAGATTTGCCCTTGGTTCGATGGGTTATCACGTGAGTCGGTGAATTTATTTGTTTTTCCAATGTTCTTTTTTGTGTATTGAGTTTGTTAACAACTTTATGCAGTGGAAAAGCATGGTGAATGGTGATTGCTTAGCATCTTAGGTGGCTGGTGGGTACACTTTTAGTCCTTTGTAGATTTTGGGGAATTAGTAATGCAGAAAAATACACGGTAGAGAGAGAAAAGATGAGAGTGTAGGTGGACCTCACTTTTTTTTTTTTGTCAGACTGTCTCACGTGTTGGGGATCACATGCTAGTTGTTCCACTGAAAGCTTATATAGTACCATTAAATATTCAGTGGTATTATTTATGCATAAATTTAGTATAATTGAATGCATATATAATACCACTATATGCATATATAGTATCACCGTATGTTCAGTGGTATTATTTGATCATCCAATTATACCAGAATATGCATTCGTTTGTACATGTGTGTAATTGTTATGCATTTCTACATGCATAACATTCCTCCCTTTAAAATCCCTAGTAGATTTTTGCATAACGTGTACGGGACTATGAAGAAGTCACTTTATATATCCTCCATTTGACACTCGACTACATCTAGACTTTCTAGAGATTCAAAGGTGTTTATTTGATCACTTTTTAGTACACAAGTAAAGCCTTGTTCTTTTGAGTTGCTCTACTCTGTTATGCTCTGTTGTGCTTGTTTAGAAGCTCAAAATAACAAGGCCTAACAAGAGAAATCTTGTTATGAATTTCGTGATTAATGTATGATTGATAGGTTAGTATCAAGTCATACCTGAAATAAGTAGGGGTTGTAGCAAATTTGTAATCAAATTCGACTTGTATTTGCTTATTTATTTACCCTCTAATGTATATGTATCTTGAAAAATATGTTATAACACTTTTCCAAGTCTATATGTGTGATTTTTTTTATTGAAAAAAATGAAAATCAAAGCATTTGGAGTGCTATAAGCATGCTAATAATGCAAGATTATTTTTGATCATCGATAAGCGACTCTTTGAATGTTAATAAATTAGATTTACATTAGTAATTCCCATGAGTTGTGGTAGATAGTTATGTATAAATTTTAACTGGGTATGGGATTGTGGGCATTGGACAACCCCACTCGAATTCTTTCCATTATCTGTCATATTTATATACGTTGTTAGTCAAAATAATAGATTATGTAATTGCATAACTAAATTGAGTCAAGTAATTTGTTTTTGTTGAGGTTTGAGATGTATTTATTTTCACTTTGACATGAATTTCTCTGATATGGTTTGGTGTAGTTTGTTTTTGTCTAATTTTGATAAGAAAAAAATGACTAATTAATTTTTAAACAATGAGATTGATACTTTGTAACAATATAGAGAGTCGTTGCTAACAATATTTAGGAAACAATTGCTAACATAAATATTGTTAGTACAAACTTAAAAAAAGATTTAGAAGTATTTTTCATTCAACCATAGCTCAAACAGTCTAGGAACATATAGTAAAATTTCATTTGAGTTGAGTTGTTGATTTTTGAGATTTGAAATAGGGTTGATAATTATTGAGTATATTTTTTAATGAAAAAAAGTACGATTGTTCGATCATATCATCATTTATACGATCATGTACGGTTTTGCTATGATTTAGCAATTTTGCATGATTCTGCTACGATTTTGAGCTCATTTGTATGACCTTGCTATGATTATATGAGATTCTACCTGGCTATAATCATGTTTTCAATCTGGATCATTTAGCTAAATTGGGATTGCAAAATTGTATGATCTAAATCATGATTTTGACGGTTATAATGTATACGAAACACGATTGATGCAACATCAAGATGTGAGTTATCTGTAAAGACAAACCTCATGTGACTGCTTTAATTTGATTAATTGGACGAACAGTTATGTGACTGTTGTATTATTATAACGATTACGAAATGATAGCTGATGCTATGGCAAGGGCAATAATCAATCATCAATAACACATTCCTTTTGAAAACGTTTTTAATAAAATTATATTCCCACTTGAAAACCGTTTTTCCACAAAGACTTCAAAATCGCAAATGATACAATCAATCACAAAAACTATAGAGTAAAGAATAAAAAACGAAAACGAAAGCAAAATAGAAGTGTGATGCGCACTGGTACATGCACAAACTAGCACGCCGCTGTTTTCTTGGTCAGCAAATTACTCTTTCCCCTGAAATAAAATCGAAATAAAATAAAATAGTTGTAGAAAAAATTAAGGGGGTTTGGTTTGGTCAATAAAGAATGCAACAATAACGGGGTATTACATTACATTTACATTTCTAATTTCATGAATCATCATAAATTCATACACAACCCAGATTTGTTTCTTACGACTCTCCAAAGATCCAACAACCTTCTCTTTCTCTCTGTCTCCTCTTTGCTGTACCAATAGCGTACCTTCTTCTTTTTTCTCTCTCTTTCTTCACCAAATTTCTTAAATAATTCTCAACTTTAAGGGTTTTATTGCTAACAATCTTTCATGGCTCATAATCCTTCTTCTGGTTGGTTTTCTTTTAATTTCTTGTTTTTTGTTTTCCTGCAAAATTTCTGCTTAATTTGATTGTTTTGTTATGAATTATTGTTTAGTTTAGCTACTGTGAAGTGGGTTTTTCCTGCAAATCTTTTTGGTATCTTTGCATGTTGAATATACTCGTGATTTTGACTGTTATAAATGATGATTTTGACAACTTTGATATGGGTTTTATTTTGTTTGAATATGATGTTTGATTCGAGATCAGATCATCATTATGTTTGTTTCAATTTGTTGTACAGATTTTAAGAGAATTTGGTTATATGATGATCTGGGTTATTAGTTGTTGAGTTTAATGATCAGTAAATCTCTGTTTATTACAGCTAGAATGCTGTTTAAATGCGTAATTTCCACCAAATTCTGGTATTTGAGTTAGTAATAAATCAAGAATCTAAAGAACATGAGTCAAATATGATGTTTGTATAGAAAGATTTTTGTTATAGCTCATAGGTGAATGATTATTATGATCGTTTATGAGTTGGAGTATATGGGTTCTTTTGGTAGGTACAAATGGTAAAATGAAGGATGATAAACCGCTGGTGGTTTGCTTTGGGGAAATGCTGATTGATTTTGTGCCCACGGCTGCTGGAGTGTCGCTTGCTGAGGCACCTTCATTTGCTAAAGCTGCTGGTGGCGCTCCTGCTAATGTTGCTGTTGGAGTATCACGATTAGGAGGTTCCTCAGCTTTCGTTGGAAAGGTAGAATTACTTCAATTTGGTCCTTTGTTTACCTAATTCTGAATGTTTCTGTTTTCGAAACCTAGTTTGATGCTATTAGGAAACTTAATGAGTGAAGAGTTCATTGCCGTTAAATCCACATTGTTAACCATGTTTGATGCTCATTTTTAAAGCACTTGGAGGAATATATTTAGAGGCTAAAGTTCTGTTAATCAGAAAAACTTTCTTTAGCTTTGCCTTATTTGAGCAAAAGTAGATGTAATTTGTCCACAATTTAATCACAGTGGAAGAATCCGCTAAATGAATGCTTCATGTCATTAGTCCAAGTATCTTATAGGGAAATGTAGGTAATCAGAAGTATTTTAGGCTAATGTATTACTCTCTGCACTTGTTGTTTGGTTAGTTCCAGTGTGGCTATGTGTGGTTTCCAACAATATCTGATGAGCTGCTGCTCTCTATGTTTATGCTTTTCTGATTGTTTTTAGGACTTTTGCCACCTTGTATATTGATTGAACAGAATCAATGCTCACGAAAAATATAATTCTACTGCTTTATGTTTATGCTTTTTTGATTTTTTTTTTCATTTTTAATTAGGTGGGAAAGGATGAGTTTGGCTTCATGTTAGCTGACATTTTGAAGCAAAATAAAGTAAATAATTCAGGCATGAGATTTGATCCCGGGGCAAGGACAGCACTGGCTTTCGTTACTTTGAGAGCTGATGGAGAGCGTGAATTTCTCTTTTTCCGCAATCCAAGTGCTGATATGCTCCTTCAAGAATCTGAGCTTGATAAAGACCTACTTGAGAAGGTGTGTTATTGATAGTTGAATTTTTAATATTCTATTTACCTCTAGAAACTTGCTTATTTCTTCTGTGGCTGCTTGGGAATTGAACTCTTACTGTGACTGTAATCTTAATGTAGGCGAGGATCTTGCACTATGGTTCAATTAGCTTGATTGAGGAACCTTGCAGATCAGCTCATCTTGCTGCAATGAAAATTGTGAAGAAGGCAGGTGGTTTCCTTTCTTATGATCCCAATTTACGAAAGCAATTATGGTCATCAGAGGAAGCTGCTAGGGTTGGCATAATGAGCATATGGGAACAAGCTGATATGATTAAGGTATAAATTTCGGGAGGAAAAATCTTGAGTTTTTTATTATGAGCTGAAAATTACTAATCTGCTAATCATGTTTAACTGTGCACATGTGATTTTAAGACTGTTATTTTTGCGGCAGGTAAGTGAAGACGAAATCACATTCTTGACTGGTGGTGAGGACCCATACGACGATAATGTTGTCATGAAGCTCTTTCATTCCAATCTTAAGCTCTTGATTGTGACTGAAGGGTCAGAAGGTTGCAGATACTACACTCAGGTAAGCAAGTTGATTAGGGCATTCTATATCTAGTATTAGTCCAATGATTCTCTTGAGATATCTTCTTTTCTGGTAATTGCTGCTTTATCTTTAAGCTAGCGAAATGCATGTAGTTAACGTTACTCTTGGTGAAATGATTATGGAACCTTTAGCTTCTTTTAACAATATTTCAAACTGACAAGAATTTTAACTATGCCCTTATTTTGCAGACATTTAAGGGTAGGGTTGGTAGTGTGAAAGTTAAACCTGTGGACACAACCGGTGCAGGCGATGCATTTGTGGGAGGATTTCTAAACATTTTAGCCTCTGACTTGAAATTATTGAAGGTAATTAATTGCAGGACATGAAAGATACTTTATCATGCTTCAATTTGCCCATTAGGGCTGTACTGTGTTTAATTTTTAATGCATTTTGTGCTGTATATATGTATAATCATGTGCCGTGTATATCAGTATATTTCTGATGCTCAATAAATTAATGATGATGATGCAACTGCTCATAGTGGAAAAATGCATGGA